GTCTGTAGTCTTCTATCCAGAGACATTTATTCCGCTTTTTCCTCAAAATCCCCACACACCAGAGACAACTCATACACTCACAAATAGTAAATATACTGTAAATGTATAAATGAATACAAAACAGGCAAACCTCTGAGATACAGAAACTCGCACGCAGGCACGCCTGCACGCCTGCACACTCAGGACGTGTTGCAGGTCGTGTGTGTGCCTGGCTTCGTGTCACTGATGCAGTTAAAATAAAAAAGTACCAGTTTACCTCGGGAGCTCTCAGCCATAGCAGACCTTAATCCCCTCAGATATGTCAGCGCTGCGAGCAGCTTCTGAACTGCTGTGGCTGCCGTTACAAAGCAGGTACATTTTTTTTGTTTGTTTTTCAGGAACAAACCGAGAAGCCTCAGCAGAGCAGTCTCGGACCATTTTGAATGCATTCAACGCAGGGTTTTTACAGGAAACAGGACTCCATGTCAACACAGTCTTACCTCAGCATCATGCTACAGAACAGGAAGGGGGCGGGGCTTACATACCGTATATATGATCATAGCAACCGAGAATGACTATTTTTTATTCCCTCTCTTCCTTGTCTCTGGTGTAGTCGGGTGAAAAGTAACTCCGCAGAACTCTTTTCTTTTACTCGTTTTTTCCAGTATAAATATATAAATATATAAACTGTACATTATGACATAGAAGCACTATCAAAGTTTGATTGTTAGATGTGCACTCGCAGCATGAGGTATTATTCTTTATTATTCTTCATAACCCAGAAAAAAAGTGACGTAAGATAAGAAGAGCTTTTTGAAGAAAAAAAAAAGTCTATAAAAATGAACAAAAACAAATAATGCAGTAGCGTCTACTGATGTCAAAGAAGATACTGACCTCACCCGCCAAACACACACAAAAAACTCATACGCCCCCCCCCCACCCCCAGATCTTTACCTTAACCCTGCCATGTGACACAGCCCTGCCCATCCAACTGATCGCCCTGACTCCGCCCCCTGCCCCCTTCCCCGCCCCTGTGTACATGCCAGTGTTTCCCCCATGTGTTCCAAGTGCCAATAACTTTGTGAATTCCTAACTGTGACCCAGTAATAAAGATAATTGCACATTAACTACTGTAAAGAGAAAAAGAAACCAGACTGATTCAAAGTGAGGAAAAATCTGAATATCTGAATTAAAATGTTTTTAACAAACAGGTCTGACCCTTTGGCTGTAATGCGTCTTCATTTACCTTGTTGTGTTCCAGTTTGAGTCGATGATATGTCAGCATTTCTTTTGTGTGTGTGTGTCTTTAAACATCTATAAAGATGAAATACAACACTTTTATTTCTGAACACTGGCCAAAAAAAGAATTAATGACATGTTGGATCGTCCATAAGTTCTTAAGATGTCATTTATTTAAGTTTTTTCCTTAAATATTGTCGATACTACAACTGTATCCATTAGGGGTGGGGAAAAAATGATAAGGTAACATATTGTCGTCCTGACTGAATGACCTTGACCATCAGCACCCCACAATTAAGACAAATAAATCTTGCAGAGTTTGTAACATTTCATGCAAGATGGATTTGTAGATTATTTTTATTTTTTTTAAATAAGTTCTTTACAACTGATGGATGTATCTCCCTGATGCTGCACACATTCCCAGGCAGGTCTGCATGTGTTGGACTCCTTCCCACTGCCTGCTCGTCCTCAGCTCTCCCTGCAGTCATAAAGCCACTGGGGACACGCTCCGCTCTTACAGCTCAAGTAAACACAACGTCACATGATGGGTCTGCTGCCAGAAAAATGTGTGACGATGTTTCCATATGAAGAGCAATTACAGCTCACTCCGATAACAATATACAATTTGATGAAAGCTTTTTCACCTGAAGTACAAATCAGAGGGGTGGGACATGAGTGAAAATCAGAGGAACACTGAAGTTTCTGTAGCTTCATGTTGAAGTTTAATGAACGTTAAAACTCAACTGAGGACTTTAAGAAAAGAAGAGAGCACGCAGGCTGCAAAGGGCAGTCGCACGGCAATGACTGACATGATTTCTGTAAGGAGAAACAGACAGCAGATCTTGAAACAATGCAAACCTAAAAACACTGGCAAAAAATCCCAAATCAGTGCACATCGGAAAAGAGCTGCAAAAGACAGAACATGCTGCGAAAAGCAGATGGCAGACAAGCTGCAAGAAAAGTAAAAAGCCAATAAACGGTGCACTATCAAAAAGGTCTGTGGGTTTCACTCAAGTTCTACCATTTGCTGCACCTTTCTGTAGTTGCATTTGTTTGAGACTTTAGCACGTTTTTTTGTGTCTTCAGTCTGTTCCCTCTAATGAGAATCTTTCTGGTCGGAGAGAAAGGAAAAACAAACTCATAAAGCAGAGCAGCAAATCTCCAGAAATGTGTGGCTTTGAAGAACATCCAATGCAGGTCATTTTTGGAGGGAAATTGTACATTTCTATACTCTGACATTGACTTCACTGTTTCATCTGCAAAAATAAACTGAAGTATAAGTTGAGTTACACTCAAGAAAAAATATTTTTTGTGTTTGATGCCTGACCAGTTAAAGAGTTATCTGCACTTTCACTGACAGCGATGTTTAGTGTCATTATTGTGCTTTTATTAAGTACTCCTCGAGGGGTTTCCTCATATGAAGACCACAGAGTTGAGGAAAACCCACCTGATGACTCAGACAGACGTACTGTAGTGTTTATAAAATAATAAATTAAGAGTGTATTCCCCTCATATCATGCCGAGTATATCTCCAAGTACCTTGAAGTGTACAAATACTCTACATAATTGGGTCATGTTTACAGCTACTGTAGCTCAGCTACATTTATGTGACAGTTTCAGCGGTTGAGTAGCAAAGGGCTGATATCTTTAGTCAATACAGTAATTGTAACGTCAGGAGGAAGGTCCCAAAATTCACCTTCAATACCAACAAGGTGCTGCTTCATGTTCTAGACAGTCACCTAACTGGAACGTGATCTCACAGGACGGATGGCAGGTGGAAGATTATTTCAGATGAGTTCATTTTATTTTGAATCAAAGGCCAAACAGCCACAGACTAAGATGCTCAGTGTGATGCTTTTCTTAGACTGTGCACAGCCCTTCACACAGTGTCCATTTAGAATATGCTGTATAAATAAATCTGTGGTGGTCATTTGACCCAGATCAAGACACAAGCTAAAACAACTGATACAGATGTGACAGTTCAGGATTGTCCTATAAAGTTCAATCCAAACAGAAAGCACTTGACTTAACTTTATGGGAGAATTAAAGCAGAGTTTGAGAAAGCTCTGTGTGGCTGCAGATGCCTTTACCTCACAGACCTCTGCTGTGCATGAGGTCTTGCAGTGTGACTCATGACTGGAGTTGAAAATCACTCGAGTGCTTCATTTATGCTCGCAGCACTTTTCAGTTAATTTTCCTCACTGAAGCGTTTAAGGGACGAGGCCCTGAATATGTAAGAGAACATTAAAAGCATACACGAACCACGGGGGGGGGGGAAGATTAAACACAAGAGCTCTATGGAAAAAAAAAAAAAAACATCCCTGAAAGCCATCTGAATGCAACCCTGCATGCCTGACTTTTGACTTTTTTGGTGCAGATTGAGTAGAAATTATTTTTTTCTTCTAAATGAACAACCTTTTCTGAAACTTGGCTACAAAAGTGAAACAAATCAGACAGGATTAAACATACGATTGTGGAGGAAACATGTAATTCACACAACTTCAAAGCATCATCCTGTATCTATTACACAGGACTGCACACACCCTAGCGTGGGCAGCGTTACCTGACATGACACAAAGAGAATACATGACCTGTAGAGTCCAGCAGAGGGCGCTGTGAGCCTAAATGAAGGCTGCTGTCAGAGGCATCCTGCCCAGCAACTGTTCGTCCTCTCATTAGCAAAAGCTTTTCAATAAAACAGGCGAACCCATTCGCTCCGAGCCAAGGTTGTCTCTCATCGCTCCAGTGAGAGGAACAAAACTGCAGCCAATCGTGTGCTTCTCCCGCCTGCAGGGCGCCAAGGCGGCACGCTGCAGACCTCACATCACCTGTCAAGAGATGGATCGGGGGGGGGGGGGAGGATGAAAGGAACCGCTGCTGTCCACTGGCAAGAAGATCGTGGATCTGTGCATGGTATGGAAAAATCAGCACGTGGTGTCATCTTCATTAAGAGCCGTCTATTCTTTTGATTTGACCACAGCAGCTGATTTCACCCTTCCATAAATCAATCTGTTGATTAGTGAGATCAGCTGCTGCCATGTTTGTGTAATTATCACTGCTCTCTTCTCGTACTTGCTGATACATTCCCTTTCGTTTTGACATATAGGCACATTAACATACTGCACAGTCACATTATAAAAATATATTTAAGGCAACACTGAAAAACCCAGTCACTCCCCTAAATCTTCTCTCTCCCACGCTGCTGCTTCTGTCGGCCTTAAACACAAAAACTGCATTTTTCTTGCAAAATATCGATCAGCGTGACTGAAAGTGATTCTTCAATATCAACAACTTTATATCAACAAATACTTTCACTCCTTTAAAGCACTTTTAAAATGTAGTTTTACGTCAGCATCATTCAAAAGTTAGTACAGATTATAAAAACAAGTCAACTCCTAACGTCACCAACCATTGTTTTACAATGTTGTTCAGTTTCAACAACAAAACAAAGTTAACCGTCAATAAACGCTCGATTCATGTGAGTTTCAAACTTCCACGTTAGTAATGACAGGTCAAGAAATATCCTGGATACGCCTTGATTTGCAGATTTGCGTTTTAAAGCTGACGGCAGCAGACTCCTGCTCTCGCCCACCCCTCGTTCAGTACCATTTTTTTTTTTTTTTACAAAATGCACCAGTATGAAAATACCACATGGGGTTTTCCCTTCTACTAAAAGCAGCTTCGTTCACAACAATCATTAAAAGCAGAGGGGAGAAGGATTCATATCTCTGCAGGCCACCTCTTCCTCCTCGGAGTGATGAAGGGAGGGAGGGAGGGGGGGGGGGGGGGGGGGGGGGGGGGGCAGGACACGTCCCTTGATACTGTTTCTTTTCATCCGTTTGTCCGTCTGTCCGTCCTTCATCAGAGAGGAGACACTTAACGTAGTTGAGAGGTCAGAGGTCACCAGTATCAGAGGGCAAAGAAGAGGATGAGGACAACAATCAGTACGGCGACAAGCACAGCGATAGCGCACCACTGTCTCCGACCTGAGCAACAAAACAAGGGAGACAAAAAACATCGAGTTATTCATTTAAAATCAACATTCAGTAGTATTAACCTGATGTATTCCACGAGTTAGATGAATGACAAGAACAACTCTGTTCTAGTCTTCATTACTGACAACAATCAGCGACACAGAAATGTGAAACCAACTTCAATAACTGATCTCTCCGAGCTAAACATCAGCATCTTCTAACTTCTTAACTGTGAAGATTCCCAGCTATTTGAAGTCATCACTTCATATTCAGGGAGATAGTGGTGAACTATTTCAGCACATTTTTAACATTTTATAGTTCAAACATTTCATTGCTCCATCATGATTATAATCCACAGGTTATGAGAAAAAAAAAACGATTGTTCCACTACAAGTGGATGTAGAAATAATTGGTTTCTTGATCTGGGAAAATCTATAAATATTGTGCTTTCCTTGCGTTGGATCATTTTAGAGACGAACAGGTAAAATAAATTGAAAGTTTCACAGCCCCCGACAAATACAGCCTCAAGATTTTAAAGCGAATTTAGTAGAAAATGTGAACCCACACTCTCAAGAGACTTTTCCAAACTGTTTGGGCTCAGTACTCAGGAGTTTAAAAAGTAAGTGTGTGTATTATCTTACTGCTGGTCATGTGTGACACCTTCTCCAGCTTCTTTAGTACTGAATCCATCCGGGATGATGTCTGGTCCATCTCGTCTCCAAAATCCCCCAACATGCTGAGCAACAACAAGAGGAGCACACCGTCACTGAAACAGTCTAACGGCAAGAAAAAAACACTCAGAATAAAAAGGCAAGGATGCCCATTAATGACGCTCAACATCAAGTCAAAATGGACACACTGAAAACATTTATTCATCAAATAAATGCACAAATGATTCAAGTGTTAGTATACACCGAGAAAGGTGCGGACATTTACAACTCTTCAGCGAATCGAGGGCGGAGAAAACATAACGTTGTCCGAGAAGTGTCGAACGAAAAAGTCTAAACTAACTTCTCTTTTCATCGAAGGCAACTGTGTTTTACAACATCCCACAATATTTGAGTTTTGGATGAAAAGTATGAACAGGCATGTTTTCTATTGATGCATGTCTGTCTGAGGGTGACGATGTTTGTCCTGAAGGTGGTGCTAGAGGAGAGTTCAAGGGTTATGGTGACTCGTTGGTGACTTTAAGGTGAGTCAGTGTTTCCTGATTCCAAAGTAATATTTCTTTAGCCTACTTCCTGAACACATGTACCTGATCAAACACTCAGCCTTCTGTCCACATAACAAGCTATCAGGAAATTATAATAAATAGATATTTATACTTTTTTTTCTTCTTTTTATCATTATTAATAATTTAAGAGAGGACAATGGCGTCTCTTACTGTGAAAAATGTTACTGTTACTGTAAATTAAATATCTTATCTGTCAGCTGTAAAAAGACTAACACTCTGACTGACTTTGGTTATAACCCTCAGATGACCTCCGGTGACCTCAGAGAGTGGCAATGAAAGGTAAACATGAGGTCTAGGATTGCTACAAACATAATCGACAGTTTTTATAATCAATAATTGCTACCCTAGCCCCCTTCAAATGAATCATAACTGCCTGAAGCCAAAATGTAGGCATATTTATTTTATTAGCTCCAAAACTCCAAAGATATTCAGTTTACTGTCAGAAAAGACAGACACGCTGATAAACAATAAAAAGGCTAACCAACAACAGAGGTCAGTGTCATTATCTGTTTACATTAAAATGTTAAATGAACTGTTTGTGTGGCAGTATGCTGTGTTTCTGTTCACTCACACAGCCTGCTCGTCCAGCTCGTCCCCTATGCGTCCTGACATGTCTTTGAGGACTCTGATGCTGCCTGACACCAACTCCAGCTGCTCATCCTGCTCCTCCATGATCAGCTGAAATACACACACACACACAGTTTGTTGAGATTTATTTGAACTGGGGCTGGCTGGGTGATGTATCTGGTAACAGAGTTGTAGTCAGGTCACCAAATCTTGAGTCTGAGTCCAGTCCCATCTCACTTAATGTCTCTGGGTGCATGCTGGACAGATCTGTCTGTTATAATTTGAAGTTGTCCCCGTATTCTCCTCAAAGGTTCATTCTCATATCGATGATGTCGTGCTTGCATTTCCTTTAACTCTTTGAAAAGTAAAACACGCACCTTGTGGCGCCTCTTCAGGCATCATGACAGGAGCTGTTACTGAACAACGCGGCACATGGACACGCCTGACAGCTCTTTACTCAAACCTGAATGTATTATTAGGGCCTCGTACCAACAAAGACAATAAAACTGTCTTTACCATTAATAATAAACAATACTAAGTTAGAGTCCCCCTCTCCGTCTTCCAGTTCTGAATGCAGTCAATGCTCAAGTCTGCTCAAGACCAGGTCGAGTATAGAGTTCTGAAATTCAGGATACATCTTGATGTCATGTCTCAGCTGCTTATGAGTTCTTAATAATAATAATAATAATAATATTAATAATAATACATTGGTTTTATATAGCGCTTTTCTAAAAACTCAAAGATGCTTTGACAAAAACATAAAACAAATCAAAAAACGACGAGGACAGTACAATGAAGAAGTAATGTGGGGGGGGGGAAGGGGGAGTTAATGGTTGTAGGCAGTGATGAAGAGGTGATTGCCGTGTGCTTTGGTCTGATCCACACTGTTACTTCACACTTACAGATCGAGGACTGTGAACAAACACTGTCTGTTTTTTTAACGGATAAGAACGGACAGGAAGTGAAGAGGACATATTTAATTAATTCAATAAAAATGAAATGTTCTTGAATAAAATCACAACGCCGTCCTCAAGTGTAAATCTTGTGCACTGATTTGTCCAGACGTTGTGTTAACACGGGTCACATTTGACATTGGTAATACTGAGACTGATTGTATTACAAGGCACTTTGTTATCTGCTTGAAAAAAAGACTGACACACATTTTCATTTGACAGAGGAGTTGAAACCCCCCTGGGTCAGAAATATTCACTTTCATCTCTATCAAAGACGAGAAAAGTGTTTCCATTTGATTCGAACTAAAAGCCAGCTCACGCAGGAAGTGTGAAGACAAGGTTTCATCATTTCGAACCACAGGAAACGGGGACGGCTTGTTCTTGCTTTGACATCGAACAAAAATCAACTCTCCACCTACGTTTAACCTCCTGTCACTTTGTTCACAGCGTGACTCTCTGCTTGTTGATGGAGAACTTGTTTTTATTAAAGCACTGCAGCACAGCAGGGAGCCTAAACTCTCACTGTGCTCCAATTCTATTCCTTCAGTGTGAACCTTTAGGTTGAATCTGTTTCTAAATATTTGACATTACTTAATAGAATAAGCATTAAAAAGAGCATCAGGCTGATAGTGAGAGTACTCTCTTAAATAATACGTCACACAACCTAATCTGAAATGATTAATAAAGCCTTCTTTATTTCTCCTTCTTCTTGTGTCTCTCTTTACAGGGATTTTTATTATTATTGTCATTTTACCAGTCTGATACTTTAAGGCTGTCGGCAGCAACAAAAAGAAGAAGCACATTTGATCACAAGAATCACGTTGAAGCCCTTACTGCTCATTTTGCAGATGAAGCTTCCATTCGTGATTTAATCGGAAAGGTATTGCATCTACATGAGAACATATGTATCCCTCTGTCCTTCTTTTGGATATTTATATAACATCTATTTTATATTTACGTCTTCTGCACAATTCCCCTCGCTTTAAGTCCCCCCCCCTTTACCTGCTGTTGCTCTTGTTGCTCCTCGATGTATCTGGAGTTTGCAGACACCATATGAGCCTCCAGTCCTGATGACCTGTCCTGACCTGTTGAGGTCAGCAGAGCCTAGACAGACAGACAGACAGACAGACAGACAGACAGAGACACACAGACACACACAGACACACACACACAGACACACAGACAGACAGACAGACAGACAGACAGACAGACAGACAAAGACACAGACACACACAGAGACACACACACACAGAGCATTAGGTTAGCAGGAGGAAAATAAGAGTGTGTGTTTACATTTGATGTTACAAAAGTAGACCAAGTAGTGGAACAATGTGGGTGTGACGGTTTCTTTTACAGCTGCTTCTGACCACACTCTCCAAATCACAGGATGACGAAATCAATAGTTTGGTGAATCAGACAGAAATGTGTCAGAGCGAGCTGCCAACACAGCAGCTAGGAGTGTGAAACAGAAGTTTAAATGACCAATGACTGAATCAGTGGAGCTGTTACAAACTACGAGCTGATTTCATATTGTCACACTCTGAAGAAGTCTCAAATGAAAACTAGTTTATCTTTTTTTAATGAAACACTTTCAAAGCCTCTCAAAAAATATTGAACAGTGGAAGCAAACCAAATGTTTTAAAGGTCCCATATTATGCTTTTTCTGGTTTTATATGCTCTTTAGTGTGTTTTCCAAGTGTCCTGTGCATGTTTAGGCATATCTATGTGCAAAAATTCAAAGTCCGTGGAAATGCGGCCTCTCCTACGTCCTCCTGTTAGCTGCAGCATTAGCTGCATGTAACGCTCTGTTCTAGCCCCCCTCGATAAAAATTTGTCAGTGCGGCGTCATTGTCAGTGTGAGATCACTGATCTAAGCCTGTTGGCTCGTTGTGACAAGCCCAGCAGCTCATGTTGAAATCTCCGAGAAGTGTGCTGAGCAACTGACCAATAACGCCAGAGCGGATCGGCAGACCAATCAGAGCAGACTTGGCCCACATGGGGTCTAACAGTGTGGGCACAGCAGAGTGTAGCTGACAGACTCAGAGCATTGAGGGAGCAAGGAGGAGCAGTACATGAAAACAGACACTTTTTTCAGACTTTAGCTATTGTGAACGTACAAAAGTAGGTACATAGATTAAATATACAAACCCCAAAAAGGGTAAAATATGGGATCTTTAAAACACAAGATGTTATATAATAAAAGTGTGTGTATTTTGTACCTCATCTTTGTAATCATTTCATGTGTGATATTGTTTAAACCTCCACCGACCTGTCTGTTCTTCTTCTCTGCCTGAGCCACAGCAGAGGGGCTGGACAACTGATCCTTCATCTCCTACACACACACACACACACACACACACACAGACACACACACACACACACACACACACACACACACACACACGACAAATGAACACAGGTAAATTGTTTATATTTCATTCTATGATGCCAAAGAACATCTGGCAAAGGGACTGTTGATTAAGATTAGCCTTCTGGTTAACTCAAGTACATTTATATCCGTCTGAATGTTGATTCATGTATACTGTCTCTTTTCAGCTAAATAAATAGATAAATGATATTTTTCAATCTCAGTGACGATCTCTGTGCCAGCCTGGCTCAGAGCAGCTTTGTTAAGTAAACTCTTCTTCTGTTCCAAAAAAGCTGGTGGGTGACTTTGAAACGTCAGAAAGTTGTTTATTCCGTCTCAGTGAAGCTCTTTGGCTCAAATGAATCAATCTTCCTCAGGTCTATTTTAAGGATTTCACCTTTGACTGGTGTGTTATAAACTGACTCATTTTTACCGCCGTGCCGTCAACGTGGACGTTTCTTCAGTTCAGCTTGACGGCAGGTAAACAGACGATAGGTACTGATGGATAATCAATAACAAGTCTCCTCACAACACAAAGAGTAAAAACAGAGAAATCAAATCCTCTGAGCTTCAATTGCTGCTTCGACTCATGTTTGACTTTGTCTTTATTAGAAACACTCGAGTTGCCAAAACAAAACAGAGCCCTTCCTGGTAATGTTTGTGTCTCTCTTCCAACATGGCCGCTTGCCACCACAAGAAACTCCTTCACAATAAAAGGTACAAATGCTCCTGTGAAAAACTAACGCTCTTATGTTTAGAAATCTGATGATTAGAAGCCACGGATAAGCTGACGTTTGTATTCTTTTTTTAAATTCAGTTTGAACACATGTACTGTGCAGAGTCATAGGAGTGTGTTAAAAGTGATAAATAATGAAAAGAATAAGAAAACACACGAGGGAAGTTAAAAGAAATAAATCTAAGATTAAATTACTAAATATAATTGAGTGCAAATTTTATGTGTCTGGAAATGTATAGTTTTTTTAAAATTGCAAAGATACTACATTTTTCAGTGTACTAATTTCTTGTATCTCTACTAGTCGTGATCAAAGTATTTTCACATTGATTTTCTGCACAAAAGAACAGACCAGAAGAAGATTTGTGATATGACAGGAAACAACAACACTATGCAGGAGGAAGTCTGAGCAAACATTAAGAGTAGTTCTGCTTTACCTGGACGGCTGACCTGGTTCTCTCCACAAAGTCTCTCCTCTCCTTAAGTTCATCTTCTCCCAGTTTAAACTTCCCCGGGTTCGACTCCACGATATCTGAGCAGGGTTAAAGACACCAACTCGTCCCCCTCCTCTTTTCCAAAACACTTTGAAGGCCTTCATTTGAGATTGTTTACACACATTTTAGGAGACTAAAAGGTTAGAAAGTTCATCAGGACCAATTATATGTTGACTCTGGAAACAAACATGTGTACCTCAACAATGTTATCTGACTTATGGTTATTTAAAAAGTGTTTTATTGTTGTCTTCTTATTCAATTTTACCTACATCCAGTTAGAACTGGGTGTCAAGGGGAGCAAGAAAAAATAATATTCTATTTCAATTTAACTGAAAAAAATATATTTTCAGTCTGCTGAACTGTTTCATATTATCAGGATTGTCAACATTATTGGACTCTCTCATGATGACCATAGTGGAAAGAGTTTTTTTTTCTGTTAAAAGGATACTGATGGTTTCACTGAGGTCCTCCAGGTCCCAATCTATGGCCCTCAGACAGTTCCTCAGTTCATTGGTGCTCCAATCCAGTTCATCGCGACTCACCTGAGACAACAGAAACCAAAAAAAACACTGTAACTAAATATACTTTACTAACATTATTGTAATGAGCTGCTGATGTGTACAGAACTGCTTCACATGAAGGAGCTATGGTTGTATGTAATGGGACGTGTGAGTCATCAGGACTCAACTCAACAATGACAGAAAAAAGACTATGTTTGTGCTATATATAGATTTAAAGACAGTGTTGCAAAAACAAAAACATGAAAGGGGATTTGTTGGGAATGCACATAACACTTTACTACAGGACTGGTGTGTTTTAAATAGCTAACCTGTGAGTCATATAATCTACCATATAATAGTATCTTATCAAAAAATGTAATATAATGTCAATACTGTATGAGCAGAACTTCCAATTAATGTTGAGAACATGAATTTATTATCTGTTAATCTGTTGATGATTCAATAGCTGCGTGGTCTGACGAACGTCAGGAAACTGTGAAAATGTCACAAACACAGAAAACAAGAACACGCAAGAAGTTCGAATCATGGAAGGTTTAATGTTTCCTTAACAAATACTCAAACTAGTCATTTTATTATCAGAATTCATGATGTTCGCTAGTTTATTATGTCCCCCAAGACACTGGTTTTGCTCTGCACGTGTAACTTCAGCAGTATGTGACACATAAAACTCATTTATTCAGACTGGCCTTTATATAGTGTTTTATATCAATTCAAATCCTAACATTACTGTATTGTCTTTTTATCCTACTACAATTTTAAATATTTTCCTCTTATATATTTATTTTAATATCTTGTTGCTTTTATGTGTCATATTTTAATGTATTTTATTTTTATACATACATTTTATTTTTAATTCTTATTGGTGTGCATTGGTCTCTCAATGATTTTATAAACTACTTTCTGTCAATAACTTTTCTGCACTCATGTTAAGCACTTTGAACTGCAATTTCATTTATCTGAAAGGTGCTATATAAATAAAGTTTGATTGATTGATTGATATGTTGTCAAACTGGTGAGTGTGTCTCCTTATTGAACACCATTTAAAACATTTGCATTGCTTTACTTTCTTCTAATGATGAATCACATGTGTTGAACTTCCTTTCCTACCATACTGTATATGCTGACTTAAGATCCTCTGCTCATTATGATCATAATAAACTTTTTCTATTAGAGAGTTAAGTCAGTCAGGACAGTGTGTTTGGACTAAATAACCACCTACCATCAGTGGGACATTATTATTTCAGGGGGGGGGGGCAATGGCATGTGGTGATCTCACCTGTGTCCCATCCTGCAACAGTTCCTCCCATCTATCAAAAAGGACCCGAGCACGAGACAAGGCCTTCTGCACCTCCCTTTTATTTACACACAGAAGCACACAAATCATTAGCAGCACATAAACTGTGACTGTACTCTGCTGCGACCCTCCCCGTTTAACCAAAACAAACACAGAAGTTACATTTCACATCCTTCTCTAACTTCGCAGCGTCTAGAAAACTACCTAACATGACAGTCCCAAAGCCGAGCAGGTGTTTCTACAGAGGGAACTAAATAAAATCTGAGCGATTGCTCAGTGAGGGACTTTCTTTTGTAAGCCTAAACAAACATCAACAACCTGGCTACCCCGGCGCAGCTGGAAGCGCTGATGCTAGTTAGCTGCAGCTAGCCGTAGAGCTAACTTTGGCAATATAACTTTTTATTTCATGGAAACGAAACAACTATATATCGACTTGGGTTTCAAACACTTAACCTCCGAAATTATCTGAAGGAAAGGGTAAGTTTTAGGTCTTATATTCGTAAATTTCTTACCCCTTCACAACGAAAAATGGGTCTTCTAACGACATGATGGTTACTTCCGCTTTAGGCACAGCGCATGCGCCCTTAGAAGGCAATAATCAAAGGGTGTTCAATGACACTCTGCGGTTTCTCCCACTTCGTTGAAAACACATATTGAGCTTTTCTAACGCACATTATCAACTTAATGTCATTTATAAAGGCCACACTGTTTTAACACGAACTATATCTGATGTCTGATGACATCCTGTTCCATGCAACCCATTAAAATAGTGTAAAAAAAAAAAAAAGTCCATGTACATAGAAAGGCCTGCAAAGCTAAAATTCGTTATGTTTCAATTGTGGGCTGTAGATGGTTAGTGCAAGACTTTCAGCAACAATGGCTAGAGGAAACTGTCTTGACATCTGGAGAAGTGGGCTTCTTGAAACAGAATAGGCTACTAGTACTGTTCACATCTGTGTTAGATTAGTTGCCATGGTGACGTCTATGCAAGCACTGCCTGGGTTTGTTATTAAGCTGGATAGTGTTGTAGACAAAAGCAATTGACTCAGTTTAACTCTTTGTGAACACGTTGTCCAAACATTGACACAACCTTTTTTTCTAGTACTATGGTATGTACCATGGTATACCATAATATTTTGTAAGGTACTATGGTATGGTACCATGGTAGCCTACGTACCATTTTACGGTCGGTCTACATGGTACTATGGTATGTACCATGGTATGTACCAAAGTATATAGTACATAGTACATACCATGGTATGTAGTAGGCTATATGCCATGGTACGTACCATGGTATCGTAGTAATATGGGAGGTACTATGGTATGTACCATGGTACATACCATAGTACCATGTACCGTAAAATTGTACATATTATCCCATATTACTATGATACCATGGTACGCACCATGGCATATACTACATACCATGGTATGTTCTACCGGTATGTACTATATACCATGGTAGGCTACTATGGTACACTATGTACTATGGTACACCATGGTATGTACTATATGGTGTGTACTATGGTACACCATGGTATGGTAAACTTTATTATGGACACCAGGCCATCAGTTTATAAAGTTGTGTCCCAAAAGGCTAGGCCTACTTCTTTTTCAGTTCTTTATTTGTTCATCTTTTCTTTTTTTTTTTTTACATATTTGCCTATTACTTTTGCATATAGGCTCTTATGTACAATAATTCATTTTCTATTTCATGTTATTTTTTTCATTTGCCTCTAATTGTTGACAATGGGTTTTCCTTACAAACTAAATATTCTATTACTTCACTGTTACTGTAAAGTTCTTTATGATAATAATAGGCTATGTGTTGTTCACAATAGCCTATGCTGATCAGGAGACTAACCCACAAGTTATACCGTGTAAAATAGTGTAGATGTGCCCTACTTAAAAAAAGGAACCATAACTGCCTATCAGGACATATTTAATTCAGCCCCTTGGTCATTTGTGGTCAGAAACCGCAGAACTTCACATTTCAACTAAATTTCAGCCAGATGTAAGCCTTTTTTGTTTGAGGGAGAAAAAAAAACACAACAGGTTTTGTGTATTCCTTTTTAGTAAAGATTCTAAAAAGTATTATTATAAACTATATTTCAAAATCAAAATGATGAAATTGTCCATATTTTACAGATGAGATAAATTACAGCAGGTCCTTTTTTGCTGTAAGTTAGACTACATTGGTCTGTTGTTAGTCATCTTTAGTTGGTCGCTGTGGATAATAATCATAACTTCATTTATAAAGCACCTTTAAAAACATGGATTTACAAAGAGCTTTGAGATATAAGCATAGGCAACATTAGAACTAGGCATTCGAACCTAAACACATCATTTATATTTTAGGAAGGATCAAATCTTAAACACACATGCGCTAACTTTTTTATGACACGCACTACGAAAATATAAAGGTAATACTGTAAACCTGAAATCCAACTCATGACAGTTTTACGTATTCCAAAAATTATTTAAATTTTGTTCACCCTTTCTCTAAATAGACCATGGAACTCCTCCACAATTCCATTTTAACCACCTATCAGTGTAGTAAATGAAAATCCTCTGCACAACCAGGATCTGTGATTAAAAATGGATGAGTAGTAAAGGATGCACATAGGTGTCGATCAATTCAGAGTGTTGCTGGCTCAGCAAAAACCTCAGTATTACGTGCATGTTCTCTTTTTACAGCTAGGCTTCCTGTCCCTCCCATCTGCCTCTGTTCCTGTGGGGGTTTCACTCTCGATCCCACCCTGTCCTGTTCAGCTCCTTCCTTCCTGTCCTCATCCTGTTTCCTCTGCTCCCCCTGCCCACCTCTTCCTCTCTCCCTGTCCTGTGAAAACTCACAGCCACTGTTATAAATGTCACTCTTAAACACAAACTAAGACTCAGAAATGTTCAACTAAAAGAGCTTTTATCCTCTCTCTCTGGTCGGTATACTGCTTGCACAGTTTTTATTATTTGAAAAATAGCTGTGGTCAAGTTAACGGTCCTCTTCAAGACAGATGTGTGATCAACAATTTCTCTTAACATGAATTTAAAGTTTACTCATAACTATTTTCTCTCGACCAATTTTGCTTCTGTCCCTTGTCAGTGATATAGTTTGTTTGATCTTGTATTTTTTTGTGAAATTATTAAAGTCGGAACGTGACAATTAAAGCCTGGTACAGTGCATTACTAAACTACAAAAAATAGTTATTCATCTTTTGAAAAAAATAAAAGTTTTGGTACTTCTTCTTTAGTACATATTTTTCTTTCTCATTGATCTCAAATAAGCATATGACACATTTAAAGCTCCTGTGAGCAACTATTGGTTCGTGCCTTTATATCATTGTTATGTGTAGTTCAACTGAATCACACTATCAACAAAAGAGTGGAAAACAACTTATAGACAAACGGAAACCATAATGCAGCCGTTTAATTACGTGCACAGAAATCGTAGTGGTCGCGTGCATTCACTTTATGCGCCGACTCCAGACACAGGATATAAACAAGGTCACATTCATTAGTTGTGACTGCCTCTATGTACAAATGTTTAAAGCACCTGTTCCAAAGTAAAATATGTTTAAATATTGTCTATGCACAGAATGAGTCACGAAAAGTCATACTGTCCAGGTTTAGGGAACGACATTCAGCGTCATTTTGATCAAATTTAACCTGTTTTTATCGAGATGGATTAAGGGTCAAGTCAATGAAAATGTTGGATAAAGTTGGTCTTGAAACCATGAAGCTGTACCTGCTTTGCTTATTTTCCAAGGAGCCCTTTACAGAATTGCCTGGTCTCCCATCACATTAAATCCAGGTTACCTGTGATGCAGGAAGTCGTTGAATTGCCATGCGGGATTCCCCAAACAATAAACAAATAAAACAGAACAGTCACCATCATAACGTAGGCACTTACTATGGGGAATTTTCTTAATGACACACCAATGGCATCAGTGCATGATGATTCTAGTCATTATATAATACAATTGCTACTTTCAGTTGTAATAAAATACATTCTAATTATTGTGAAATTCAGAGATTGAAAGTGTTGTTTTCCTCCACAAATGAAAAGTGTATAACTTTCCATGCTCTCTGAAACATAAACTAAGGATTAAACTCCCATTTTCAAGTCTTGCATAAATTATTTATACATTCTAAATATATTCATTTTTGTATTCTTATTCTTTCGGATGTTTTATTCCAGGCATACTTTGAAGATACAGAATATTAACAGCATTCAAATGTTGATACAGATGCTAGAACATTTTTGTAGGATCACCAACTGATGCCCTTCATTAAATTTAGGAAAGACATAAAGAGTTCAGTATCAACCTTTATTATAACCTAAGGCATAAAAGTAAACCTATAGTATATGATAACCCAATGGTCAGTTTAATTGATAAAGCTACTAATATTTCAAATACTCCATCAAAGCATTTAAATCTGTCAGTCATATGACCGTTCAGATAAGAAAAATCTCCCGAAATCAAACTCTTGCAACATTTATTTTTATTAGGTAATTTGGGGCTTTTTCTGCCTCTATTAGGAAAGTGGATAGAGTTGGAAATCAGGGAGAGAGAGAGAGAGAGAGAGAGAGAGAGAGAGAGAGAGAGAGAGAGAGAGAGAGAGAGTTAGTAATGACATGATGTAGGAAGGAGGGACAGAACCCGAGTCACCTGCTTCGAGGACAACAGCCTCCTTACACGGAGCATGCAAACTAACCACTAGGCCACTGGCTCACCAGATCTGTAGAAACATGTTTAACCTAAAAACAAATGAGGTGTTATTCTCTAAATCAGAATAGTGGGTTATTCATTTCCATTTGTTGCATCACTAACATTGATCTGTACAGCTTATTTGCTGTCCAGCTCAGCTGAGTGCAGATCTGCACGAGTGGAAAGTGTGACTCATTTTAAAAAACTCGGTGATGAAGCAGGAAAATCTCTGTTGGAACAAAACAAAGTCAGAAATGAACAGCAGCGCTCTAGAATAACAAAAGAAGCTGGCTGAGAGTCAACAAGCTGAAGGAAACACTCAGAGAAGTCCAAAAATAGACACCCTCCCTGACCCATTCCCTCATAATGCTTTCAAGTGCTCCTTGTAAGGGTGACCTATTTTCAGCTTTGGAATCACAAACTTGCTGCAGCTGCTGCTATGTACATTCAGTTGATGATGATCTTTTTTGTTTGTTTTAATCTTGGAGGTTTTTAACGCAGCAGTTCTTTTGTTGTGTTATGTTGACGCCAAAGCTACAAGGACGTAAGAAAAGAAAATTCCAAGCATTACATATAATTGATTGTAAATGATGTCAGGATGCTTCTGAAAACAACAACAAAGATCAAGATGTGTGTCACGCATCTGAACAGCGATGGAACCAGCTCATCCACTTTATCACCAGCCTACATTTTCAACAGAAGGAACTGTCAATTCTTCTGAATAACCTACTTCTGAGGAGTTTTTTGATATCATACAAAAACCTTTTAATGGTTTAAATTATTATTATTTTTAATTAAACCTGAAAGCCAATAAAAACTGGTGTTAAATTATATTAATCATTTTCCAATTTGGCCGTAAAAAAGCCTTGATGCATTAAACT